AATTCCTCAAAATGAACTTCGGTTTTTACTTTGGCTTCACTCTCAACTACAAATAATGAAGACTCATGTCATTTTCTAAATAACTCTACTATAACATAGCTACATTATTACGTGAAAGAATACAGTCTTATAAGTACCCACATGAGTTCTCCAGCTACATGAGAACAACTAACCAGTCCTTTCTTCTTAAAAAAACTTTTCTTTTGGCTTTGATGACACCACACTCATCTGTATCCCTCTTACCTTTTGGTTTGCAACCTCTAAAAGTTTCCTTTGATAAGTTAACTTTTTACTTATGATGCACAGTAGCATCTATTACTCTTAGTTATATGGCCTTAGCTTAGTTAGTTAACATTTCTAAATGTCTTCCTTACATGTAATATCAGAATGCTCTTATGTCAAAGATCATTTTCCATGAAAAACGGCTAACACTTGCCTAGTCAATAATCAACATTCAACAAATATAAAAAATTGAAAGTTGCTTTTTTCCTTTAAAATATAAATCAAATCCTGTTATTCTCTTACTTAGGACCCTGTGAGTTTCCCATTTCACTTAAGACAGAAATAAAACAAGTCCTCCCTCTGTGCCGCAGGATTCATACTTCCTGGCCTACCTACCTCTACAGCTTCAAATCCAGACAAATGTCCCCTGAGATCCCTACATTCTGGCCACACTGCCCTTCTAGATCCTCTGTCAGAACAAGTTCCTCCCTATGTGAGGCTGCTTCTTGGTGGTGGACGCTTCTCGCATGGCTGGTGTGAAGCTGCCTGTTTAATGATACCTCTAAAGTAGAACTGTTACTGACAACTTCATCTAAATTTCTCCACTTCTCAAGCAAGCAGACAATTCTTTTCCTTCACAGCACTTAACCCAACTTGAAACTGTGTAATTATTTGTGTATACCTATAAATAAATATACCATCTGTGTCTTCCACTATATTGTGTGGTTTACAACTATAACCTTAGCTACTATTATGGAGTTTGGCATAGAATAAATACTCAAACATGTATTAAATAAATGCTGAATGAATGAATGAATGAATGTCCCAGAGGAGATGTTGGCAAACAAGGCCTGCATGCCTGTCACCTGTTTATGTAAATAAAGTTTTATTGGAACAAAGCCATGCCCACTCTGTTAAGAATTGTTATGGCTGCTTTAGTGCTTCAATGGCAGTGTTCAGTAGTTGGAGCAGAGACCAAGCTTAAAATATCTACTGGCTTGCGTTTTAAGAAAAAGTTTGCCTCTGACTGTTTAGAATAAAACATCCATTTTGATGATTAAAAAAGAAAACTAACCATATGTTGTAATTATTATTTACTTTGTCCAGTTGAGTCCTAAACTGCCATCCATTGAATACATGCTAACCTTCATTACCAACATCAAGTAGAAAACTTAATATCAAACTCTCAAATATCTCTAAATGTTAATATCTGGTTGATAACATCTATCTTATTCATTAATCTGTTAAAGCACCCATTAAAATAATCCAAACTTTAAAATAAATAAATTGTATTGTATACATACGTTTCATAAAAGTCTCACCAGTGGGCATAATCTCAGTTTTATGGAGAGCACTGAGTTGCAATGTAAAGCATTAACTCACTCAGGATCCTATTAAAACAAAGAGGATTCATTTGGAATATGGAAGTTCCAAATAAAAATTATAATACACTCGTTAGGCAAAATGATGTCATCAGGTTTATACCAATTTCTCTTACCTCAATCTTATGTAAATAACTTGAATACATTTGAATGAGTTTAGAGTCCAACATAAAGTAAAGCAAATTGGATCACATTTGAATAAAATAGTCACATATTTGAAATAAAAGTTTAAAAAATTGAAAGGCAATAAACATGTAACTTGGTATGTTACACTTTTTATACACTTTTTACAAAGTGTTTCAAGTAAAAAAATGAACATTGCAATGTACCTTTAAGAAACCAGATTCAATCTCAGGATTGACTTTCCCAGGAGCACACACACTTCTGTTAGTCAAGTCGGCTTGTGGGGAGCACATTCACAGATAATGAATTTAAAATCACTGAACCTGCCACTGAAAATGCTGCTGCAATAGAGAAGGTGAGCACAAGCATTCATCCCATCTTTCTCAAATAAATATGTAGGTGTGTGATATTGTAAAGTGTTTCAAGTAAAAAAATGAACATTGCAATGCACCTTTAAGAAACCAAATTCCATCTCAGGATTGACTTGTTAGTCAAGTCGGCTTGTGGGGAGCACATTCACAGATAATGAATTTAAAATCACTGAACCTGCCACTGAAAATGCTGCTGCAATAGAGAAGGTGAGCACAAGCATTCATCCCATCTTTCTCAAATAAATATGTGGGTGTGTGATATTGTGTATCAAAACTATGGGTAAATTCAGTGTGTGTGTGTGTGTGTGTGTGTATATATATATTTTCCTGAACATATATATATACATAGTGTATCAATACAACTAAAGGGCTATTGTGATGACTAAATACACAGAGAGCTTGACCCAGCTGATTTTTTGCATTGAGTTGATAGAGTAATTTGAGTTAACGAGCTCCTTAACGAGCTCGGTCTCGGAACGAATTAAACGCATAAGTCAAGGCCCCACTGTATATATATATATATTCCTGAATTGCCAACTTTACTTAAAGATGGGGGTGTTATATATATACATATACACACACATATATATATTTTCCTGAATTGCCAACTTTACTTAAAGATGGGGGTGTGTCCAAAACAAACATTAATTCCTACATTAGAACACAACATGTGCAATAGTTTTATTGATTTTTTAGAGAGAGAAGAAGGGAGAAGAGAGAAACATCAATGTGAGAACCTAACATAAATCAGCTGCTTCCTGACAGCCCCCTACTGGGGATAGAGCCCAAAACCTGGGCATGTGCCCTGACTGCAATGGAACCAGCAATCTTTTGGTGCAAGGGTGAAACCCAACTCACTGAGCCACACCAGCCAGGGCCAAGATGCATATGTTTCTAAGAATAAAACTAAAAACGTTTAAAAGAAAAGGAAAACATTACTTGGGTCGGCTCAGCAATTATCATTTTCTTCCGGTATTAAGGTACTTCGGACAGAAAACTCTGAGAAGAAATGCTAACAAAAGAAAAGAGTGATTATATAAATACACCTCATTATGTGAGTTAGGTAACAACTAAGTAGTACACAGGCAAAATAAACATCCCTAAAGATTAAGGGGAGGAAAAGTTGTGAGGTTTGGATAACTCTTTAAAGAATTTTATAGCACAGGGGGGAAAAATAAACAAAAACCCTTTGTACAAAATTCAATTAATAAATCAATGATAGTCTACACAAATAAACAAGATTCTAAACATGGTTTAAAAATACTCTTGGTATTTGAATTATTTCAAATATCTTTTTAAAATTTACCATAGTCTTAAAAAAACTACGTGATCTTCTTCCTGAAAGCTCAGTGACAGCAATCATTAATGCA